CAGTGTTTATGTTGCTGATGGAAATGTACAAATCATTTTCATCCTTTGCGGTACTGTCATGCTCCATCACTTTAGTCCATTTTCACCTTGCGAAGGAATTCTGAATGGGCCTTCCTTCTCTGGCAGCTAATTAATCTCTCACAAGCCTGCTCTTGCAGCCTGTCTGCCCAGGATGCTCCACACCTTAAGCCAGTGACTTGTGAGCAGATTTCTTCCTCTCTCAAGCAGTTCTTTCTTCCCTTAAGCTATGTGAAGACCTAGCTTTTCCATCTTTTGGGGAAACTATGTGAGCTATAATATATCATTGAAGAACTGCTATCCCCATCCTACTACCAAACATGAATATACTCCCAAATAATTGCACTGGGTTTTAATGACAGAAGACAATGACTGAATACTATAAATTATGATGTGCACAGTATTTCACCAAAAGTGTGTTTATGTATTTCAGAATGTATATTACCAGATTATATATTCTTTGTATATGTATATTTATCAGATTATCATTGTGACAAGATACATGTATATGTTTTATTTCTGTGTTTGCCTAAAATACTACTAAAAATTTCAAATTGAAGATTTTTAGCTTAATGATAAATTCTATAGGCAAAAAATTTAAGGTTATAGTATAACTCTATATAAGTTGAAATGGCTTAACTTTCCAATAAATAACAAAAAATGATAAAAATCCAATTTTGATTTACTTCTATTTTAAAAATGGCCACTAATAAAGTGTTTACATGTGGTAACCTCATGTTAGTTACAAGTGGAACTCTATAGAAATATTCTTCCCACTTTAACATTTTACTGCTGCTATTACTAACCATCTTTTTTTCCCCTTGATTACATTTATTTTATTTCTTTTCCTTAACTTAATTTTCTCATAAATCTTTTGTGGATTTTTAAAAATTTCTTTGTTTCCTTTTCTTTTAATTTCCTTTTTAATTAAAAACATTTCCCAGCATATACATAATGTATATGTGCTTTTATAATGTATAAGTGCTTTAAGATGTAATGAGCTTTAAAAAGCAGAAAAAATAAAAGATAGGATAACTATAAATATTCATGTACTCAAATAAATATATATTCCAAAGTATTGTGGTTCAAATATCAGAAGAATGAAGACAAGAGAAAGAATTCTGACAAACCATAATTATTTTTTTCATTGAAATTTTATATATAATGAAATGGACAGCTATTAAATGTTTAATCAGATGAAGTTTGACAAATGTATGTATCAGTAAAGCCTATAAAAATATAAAACATTACTTCCCTGTGCTTTCATCTAATAAAAGCCCACTCCTTGTAGCAATTACTATTCTGGTTTCCATAGTCATAGAATGAATACTCTTGAACTTTATATGAATTGAATCATATAATATGTATGCTTATTTATCTGGATTCTTTCATTAAGTTTTCTTGAGATTAAAAGAATATTGCAATAATCAATGGCTTATTATTTTTAATCATAACATTATGATTAATATTATGATACTTCATCTAATATGCAAGGAAATTAAAATAATATAGTTCTAGGTATACTCCTATGCTTTTTGGTATTGCTATCTTGTATTCTACATCTACATACTTAATAAGCCTTCCAAATATTGATATTTTTACTATAGATTGCATCTTATAAAAATTAAGAAAACATTATTTCATTTTTACTCTCAAGTTGATCACTTCCAATTCTTTGTTCTTTTCTGCATACAGATATTTGCATCTGGAGTCATTTCCATTCAATCTGAATGACTTCTTTTCTGGATTTCTTGTAGGAAAGATATGTTGGTGATGAATTTTCTCAACTTTCATTGATTTGAAAGTTTGTTTTACGCTCATGGTTAAATATATTTGTAGCTGGAGATTGACTTTTCGGGCTGCCATAACATTATTCTGCCTTGTTTATTTGTGTTGACCGTCAGCTGCCATTTGTGACACTGACCCCAGCTAGCAATGTTTATTTCATCTAAGGGTACTTTCAGAGTTTTTTGTTTTACATTTTGCTTTGACAGTTGGAATATGATATGCTTAGGTAAATTCTCTGATTAACCTGTTTGAATTTTTCAAACTTTTAGGATCTGTGCCTTGACCTCCTTTATTAAATTGGGGAAAATTTTAGCCATCATTTCTTTGACCATGTTTCTGCCCCTTTTCTCCCTTTTTCTCCTCTCTACTCCCCTCCAAAAGCCCAATAATACACGTTATAGTGGTTTTATTTTTTCACTGATTACTGAGACTATATCCATGATTTTCCATTGTTTTTCTCCATTCTCCAAAGTAATTGATTTGCACAAATTATTTAATAATAAATAATAGATCACTTGAAGTCTTGGTCTTTGATTTACAACAACTGATTCAGGTTCTCTATTTTTATTACTTTTGTTTTCCTTGATTGTGGCTCACAACTTTCTACCTCTTAATATATGTAGTGATTTTATACACACACACACACACACACATATAATATATGTTGTGATTTTATATATATATGTAGTGATTTTTTATATATGTGTGTATATACATAGTGATCATATATATATATATACACACATATAGATATAGATGCTGGATGTTGTTAGTGACATAATTTTGGGAACAACTCCTAGTTGTCTTCCTGTAAAAGCTAATACTTTCTATTCTAGCAAGCAGTGGAATTCTGGGCAGATTATATTTGCCCTTCCTTGTTTGATTTTATTCTTTTGTAAGATAAGTCTACTTTAATTTTAAACTCAGTTCATGACCCTGACCCTTACTGCTGTGAGAGCTTTTCTATAATCCCACCTGAAAGTCTGAGATAATCAGTGAAGCCTCTTCACTCTGGGTAACATTCAACTCCAGTGTCTTCTAGCAGGGTCTGATCTCTGGTATCATTGCTAATCTCTCAACAATAGAGAAGGAAATTTCTGCTTGGCCCTGTGAAATTATACTCTGTGGAAATGCTGTCATGACCCTTGCCAAGAATTTATGTGAATCCTCATACAAACTATTGCCATTCCTAACTCAGATACCTTTCCTCAGGTATTTTGAATGCAAGCAAGTCAACAATACAGACTTTCTTTATTACTGTCTTTAGGCTTTACTCTTGAATTTGACAGCAGATCAGCAAAAGTTTTGTTTGTTTTTTTAAATATTTTTTTTCATTGTCAAAGGACTTTTATTTTATTTAATTTTCATATGTGGTGCTGAGGATCAAACCCAGTGCCTCTCACATGCTAGGCAAGTGTTTTACCACTGAGCTACAACCCCAGCCAGCAGCAAAAGTTTTTACATAGGGCCATGTATTCAATATTTTAGGCTGTGAACTATATGATCTCTGTTGTAACTATGCAATTCTGTGACTGTACTGGGAAAACAGAAATAGACCATGTGTAGACAAATTAACATGTTCCAATAAAATCTTATTTACAAAAATAAGCGGTCAGTCTATGGGTCATGGTTTGTTGACTTTGCTATATTTTGACACATCATCAACTTTAATCATCAAAATATTGTCAGCATAGCTTGATATTGAGGTAAAGGAACTATATAAAATGTCCCTAATTAACAAATTTATTGATTTTATTTCCTTGCTCCAGTTGCTAATTACTATAATACTTAGCCTTGATATGTAAAGGGGCATGTTGTTAAGTAATTTACATGCATACTCATATACAAATGAACAGTAGTTTCTCTTGCCTTCTCAAAAATGCCAAAATTTAATAAGGAAAGAACAAACTATAACTAACAATTCTTAGATGCCATGCTCAAATTGATTTCTTCCTTTTTACTTTATATTTGCTACTTTAGTTAAAGAATCTCAGAATGGTAGAACTGGACTGGATCTCTGAATTCATTGAGTTAAATTATTTCATTCATGCAAGAAGGAAATCTGCCACTGAAATTAAATTATTTATCTATGATTTGTCAAACTCAGCACTGGAATCCAATCTTTTGGCTCCCATACAGAGTTTTGCCCACAAATCTTACAATATAACATGAGGCATGACTTAGGTGAGAGAAGAACCAGATGGTCAAGAGATCAAATGATTATCATATTAGGGATTGCATTTATATTTAGCTCTTTGTTCTCAGAATTTATTCTGTTTCTATCCTTTCTCTCTTTTTAAAATAGATTCATTATTAAAGTTACTTAAAAACAATCATTACAAACAAAGAGTGATTCTATTCTGTGTGTACCTTGCTTCATTGAGAAATATCCTTTTTAATTATGGCAAAAGACAAAGTGGCAGTTGTATTTCATTCTCCATCATTTCTAATAGTTTAAATCAGTGGTTCTCAAACTTCAGCATCAGAATCCCCTGGAGGGGTTGCTAAAACAGATTGTTGGGCCCCATTCCAGAGTTTCTGTTACAACAAGTTTGGGATGAGATTGAGAATTTGCATTTTGGACACATTCCCAAGTGATGCTGATATTGCTAGTCTGAGTAAAACACTTTCAGAATCACTGGCTCAGATTCTCATCCCTAAAGGCAAGATACAATTTACCAGGGGAGGTGTTAATACACTAATGCCAGGCTCCATCTCAGATCAATGAAATAGAATATCTTGGGCTTGAAACTGGATATCAATGTTTTCTAAGTGTCTTGGGTGATTCTAATATACAGCCAAGGTTAAGAAAAAAAATAAAAAGTATGACCTGAAAAAGTATATTCAATCTTATGGATTAGTGTTAGATTTCTTTTCTTAACACCTTTCTTTATTAGATGAAAACAATTTGTATGTAGTCATTTTATGATATAAATAAGAATCTAAAGATGATTTTACCAAGTGATTCTATAAATTGAAGGTAATTTAGTCAAGTTGATGCTACTAATTCTGTAAAGTGTTTAGAATAAAATGTGGTTATTAAATTTCCTTTTTAAAATGTATTTATAAAGGTTTTTTCCATTTACAAAATTACATGTTATGCCTTAGATACTAAAATTGTTTTTATTAGCTTTGTATAGACAGCATACACATTTAGATAGTAAATTTTTACCTCTTGTTTTCTCTCCATACAGTGAAAGATGCAGATATACTTTGTACGGACATACAGATTCTGTGAACAGCATTGAGTTTTTTCCTTTCTCCAACACTCTTCTCACAGGTTCAGCAGACAAGACCCTCTCCTTATGGGATGCACGAACAGTAAGCAAATCATCTCCCTTTTCCCAGGTTTTGATAAGTAGTCACTCAGTCATTCTGCAGGTATTGGGTATGACTTTAAAAGGATGTGGAGGGTAAAAGTAAGTTCCTACTTACAATGTCTAAATCCTGCCTCTTAACTGCTAGAACATAAAAGCAATATAATCATTTCATCAAATATTAATTTGATTAATTCAATAATTATAGGGGATAGAAACTGTTGGTGCAGTTGATAAAAACAGGAAAGCATGCGCCTCCCCTCAAGGAGTTTGTCAGTTTGTAAGAAAATAGAAATGAGATCATTTTAATGAAGTGAGGTATGTGATAAAATAAGAACATACATGTGCCAGAGGAAAGCAAGGAGCCTCATCTGCTGTGAGCGAGTAAGCAGCTTCCAGGAAGGCTATGCTTGAGCTGTGATTTGGAGAGTAAGGAGGATGCACCAGGGCGTCCGGAGAGAGATGAATTCTAGGACAGGGCAGCGCATGTACAAAGCCATGGAGTTGGGAGGCTGCAATGCCACACTCTCAGAACTAAAGGAAGAAGGGAGAAATGGCAGAGTGTACATGCATGAAGTATCTGTTTCAAATTATTTTAGAGGAATAGAAGGAAGAGTGCAGTACAAACATTGTAACAACCAGGTTTGCCTTTAATACATTACTTTGATAGTAAAGCAAGGAGCTAGTCTCCTGAAGGAGCATACAACAAGCTGTGAGTGGATGAGAATTTGAACTGAAGCTTGACTGTGAAAATGAAAAGGAGAGAAAGTACTAAAGATAAGTCTAAGTATCAGAACTTGAGGTGTGAATAGAGGTGGAGATCATGGGAAGAGGAGGAATTTAGAGTGATCAACTTTCCTGATTAGTCTGAGATTGAGGGTTCTCCTGGTTCTCCTGGTTTTGAGGGTTTTCATAGGTAAAATCAGACAATCTGGATTACATGGCTTTAAGAATGGATTTGGTGCTAAGAAATGGAAACAAGATATGGAGACTATATTTTCTAATGATTCAGGAGAAGAGACTGTAGCTCTAGAGGTCAAATAAAAGATGCTTTGTTCCATAGGAGCCAGTATGTTTATTTATTTAGGGAGGAGAGGGCAGAGAGGAAAGAACTAAAAATACAGGAAACAAGAGACAGAGCACAGAAGTTTGTTGAAAAATGTTACATTTGAAGAATGTTACAATTTGCAAGACAATGTATTCATATTCTTAGCAACATTTGATGAGGATTAAAGAGAAAATGACTCACTCTGGGTGACTATCCAAGAAAATATAAAATAACCCTAGTTCTAGTTCCAGGATCCATTAGGAAGAGCATCTTATAATTTATATCATTATCTTCCCTTATACAAAGCACATTTGACATAAAGGAGTATTTTGATGGACATACAAATGGTATGGGCAGGGATGCAGGTTCAGTATGTGAGGCTCTATTTAGTCCACTGAGGTGAATTCATTTCAGATCAGTGGGAAATAAGACGTCCTCAGCCTTATATAGTAGGATAAAATAGCAGAGCAACATGTGTCTTAGTTACCAGCTTCATGTATCACAGAGATGTAGAATTCTGAGGTAGCAGAAGTCAGGGAGACATTGTGGGAAGAAAGTATCAGACATGACTTAAGAAAGAGGTCAGAATGATTTGTTGTTTGATACAAAGTTCCCACATGCCCCTCCTTGCTTTAAATAGCTTAGACCCTGATGAAGGGAATTTGTTCCTGTTAATGGACCATCAATATAAAAGCAAGATTTTCAAAGCATTTAGCCCTAAAAACTTAAATGTGAATATATAATAAAAGTAACCGTTCAAAGGAAACCAAGAGAGAAAATATTCAGTGACCTAAATTTAAGACTAATTTTTTATTGACTTTATATTCTTATTCTTATTTTAAGTGCTATAACTGAATGTTCTCAGAAACCATATTTCTTATTTACTTTCTCTCATGTGAAAAACTGAATCTCTGGTAATTATCTGTAAGAAAAGTTGCCTCTACTATATGTGCCTTAAATACATAAAGTTACTTATCAAGTGTGACCTTCCACCCTGATGTTGCAAAGCTCCTCCTCTGGTACTCTTATTCTCCATACTATCAGGAAAAAATGAGGGACTCTGCACAACACTGTGCCTTAGCATAGTAGTGGCATTACATGTGGGTTAAATGTAAGTGCATTGGTCAATGAGTCCCAGAGATATGATTTCAAAAAGCATATATATTTTTAATTGATTTAATGGCAAATTAAAATTTATATTACTAATATTATAATGTTATTAATATTATACATACTACCTTCATGATCATTGATACAGGAAAAGAACTCTAAAATGTTTTGATACAAATTAAACGTTATTCGTAAGTATACAGTAAATGCATTATTGATTGAAAAAAATTATTTCATGAAAATATTTTAACCAAGGGGTTTAAAAAATTAAATTGATAACTATGTATTATAGAAGACTACTCTGTAAAAGAGTAGTAGTTATTTGTTTTTAAAAATTAGATAATGCAATCTGCTAATTAAAATATTGATATAAAATTTTACACATAAAATCAACAACTCTAGAATTAAACAGAATTTTTCACCAGAGTTGCATTAGGTAGTTCTGATAACTTTGTTTCAGAAATACATTATTTATTTAAAAATCAAACAAGAAAAATTCATGAATCACTCAGTTTTTAAAAAATTCATTTTATATGTATAATTTATTTTTTATTTTTATTTTTATTTTTTTGGTGCTGGAGATTGAATCTAGGGTCTTGTGCATGCGAGGCAAGCACTCTATCAACTGAGCTTGTCCCCAGCCTTTTAAAGATATATATAGTTTTTAAAGCTACCTGATATATTGTTTACATAATATAATTGAATATTTTACTAAGATTGGAATTATTCGTTGTTTTCCCAATGGATCAGGGAAGAGTTGAAGTTGATTTATATTTGCAGTTGAATATTATGAGCCATTGAAGAGGGAAACCAAGATTGCGATAGGTTTTTCTTTGTAATAGTACAAATAGAAAAATGTATTGATAATAGATGACTTTCTTTGACTTGTGACATCAATTACACCTATGATATCCTTCTTGATAATTTTAAAATATGTTAATGCCTTGATAAATAGTAAGTTGTTAGGTTATCCTAAAGGTCTGGACCTAAAGGAAGATGAATGACTTCCTTTTCTTATTAGTGAAGCAATAATCCTGAATTTTGTCATGTTGATGTGATCAATTACTATTGAGACTCCCTCTAAAATATTTTTGATGAAATGTAAAAATGATCAGCAGATTATATTCCTATAAATTAGTTTTAAAGTTCCTTCTTCCACTCTCAAACATATACTAGTCTTAAATCACTAACTTAATCGAACAGCTTATTATGGAAGATAATGAATGTGGAGACCTCTAAGTCAGTCTCTAAGTCAAATGGACAGATCAGTTTTGAATTTTGTGGGGGATGAGGAGAGAGATATAAATCTCTATAATTACCAAATAGAGGCTATAAAAGAACTTGTAGTTTGGAAATTCATGAAATTGTTCTGCTTTACAGGGCTGCCTCTATTTTTTGTCAACATTATGAAACAGTAAAACTATTCAGCTAAGATTGAAAAAAAAAAGATTGCTTTATTGTCAGAAAATTATATTTTGTATAATAAATTTAGTGAAAAATTATAATGTCCTCCCAAAAAGCAGCATAAAAAATTCCAAAGTACATGAGTGATTTGGAAATCTGCTTAAAACAATAGCAATAAGATTATTAGTCATTCACAAGTCTAATGAAAATATTAAGGCTTTTGGAATTTTTTGGAAGTAAAGAATATGTTCTCTGTATAGTAAAGCACAGAATGAGAATGAGATGAGTGATCTGCCTGTGAGCTGTGTCAGAGATGGGTGGCATTGGTCAGAATTTCTAACATTTTATCTCTTGTGACCCGACAGAGTGTTGGTGGCCTGGGTTACCTTTAGTGACCACGCCGTACTCCCCAAACTAGCTAACTTTATGCACGGATCCAACACTCAGCACTCTTCTGTCTTAGCTTTGACCAAATGAGCCAATAACTAATCACTGTGAGTTCCTATAAAGTCAAAAAACTATGAACTCACCAAAAGTAACCTGTTGGCTCCTGTTTGTGCCTGACCCATCTACTTCATGGTCCAGCCTCAGGGTGCATTAGCCTTATTGGTTTTCCCCATGGGTTCTGCTGAACTCTCAGAGTCTGAGTCTGACATTCTTTGAAGATCTGAATGTAGAAACAAAAGCCCAGTTCATGACTTTTCTCTCAGGGTTTGATTCTGAACCTATATTTACTAGAGATCTTATTGCCTTCACTTTTCCTACAACACCTATATAATGCTTATTGGAATCTGATTAGGTGGGTGTTGTTATTATCTTTATTTCAGAATTGAGAAAAAAAGAGCTTCTGGGAAGTATGTTGCCCAAATCAGCCAAGTGGTCAGTTGTAGTCAGGAACCAAGCTGCCTCTTAATTGGGGGTCCACCTTCTTCATGTACCTGGTCATTTCAGTGGCTCCTATAATCAACCTGACCTTCATGTTTTTACCACAGTAGTCTCCATTTTTTTTTTTCCGGTGGGGGAGTGCTATTAGCATTTGCTGTTAAGCTGGCATTTCATTTATGTAATAACATACATACACATACATACACATATACCACTAAAATAAAAGATGAGGATACAATTGGCAGTAATTGAAATTTCATATTGTTATTTTATGACCTCTAATTTTGGTTGGTTGTGACAAAAAAGAAAGAAAGAAAGAAAAAGAACCACTAATATTAAAATGACTCTTTGGTAAGAAAAAAAGATTGTGCTTATATTTAAAAAAACTGAATTTAATGATTGCAGTTAACAACTGCAACTCAAGAGTCAGATCTGTGATTGAATTTAGCAGCTATGAAGGCTGCAAATGGTCCTTCATAAAGGTAGAAAACTAAAAGCAAAGTAAAGCACCACAATCTGTACCTATCAATTGGCAGATTGGATTGTCAAATGCAGCT